CGCGCTACGCAGAGTATTCGGGGGTCTCGCTGCCCGGTTCAGCGAGCCGGGGTCCAGGGGGCGGCGCGCCCCTGGCCAGGGGGTCCGGGGGGGGATGGAATACCCCCCGACGGGGTTCGGGGCAGCGCCCTGAAGCTCCACGGTATACACCAGGTTCGGTATTGAATTTCACCACCCGAACGCATGCCTGAGCTCCAGGTGTTGCTGGTGAAACGCAGTTCTGAGGGCTGCGTTCAGTCTTATTCACACAGAGCCTATGTTTGGGCTCATAGACGCGAGACTTGCATTCTGAAATAGAAACGCAGGGCATAGGGTCGCGTTTAGGCTCACAAACACGAAGCTCATGTTGACTTGAGGATCGGCATTCTCGGAGATGTGCTCGTCGTAAGGATCTCCTCCTCCGTCGAGCGGCGTTCTTCTTAGCCTGCTTCAAGGCCTTTGTCGCCTCCATGGGCATCTTTCGACCCGATACCCGTCGTCTTGGCACGGGTTTGGCTGAAGCTGAGCCCACTCCATCCGGGGAGGGGCTGTCCGAGCAGTCTTCCTTGGGCGGTTCGGCTGCAATTGGAGCAGTTGGAGCTTTAGTCTCTTTGGAGACTTTGTGGATCTTGCGCATAGCCTTGGGGCTAAGGGATCCGGAGGAGAGGGCCTCCTCAAACTTGGCTTGATCGAACTCTACCACGAGAGTTTCGACAGTTGTTCCAGTGAGATGAACATCGGATTGCGCCACCACTTCTTCGTCAGAGAAGCTTGTCCCCAGCGGAGTCGCTATCTTTTGTTTGTGGGAAAATTTACAGTAAAAAGACAATGAAGGAAAATTTGATTTGTATTCCTTTAATCTCAGTTATAATTGGATTTCCTGATTACAAAAGAGAAGAGAATGATCTGGATTCTCCCCTTTGTTTAATTCTGGGTTCTTTACGGTGGCGATGAGATGCCTCCCTTGAATGCTTGCGTCGAGTTTGCTTCTCGTTGACGATCCGACGTCTTGATTCACTGGAACATGGTCTTCTCCTCACGATTTGACGTTGTGGAGAACTTGCATGGAAAGTTTGAAACTCTGGACGAGTTGATAACTCTGAATGAGTTAGAAACTCTCGAAAAAGAGTTGATTTGAACCGAGAATCGGTTCTCAAGCCAAGGATGAAGAAGCTCTTGTTGCAGATCTCCAAAGCTCCAGAAATGCTCTAAGGATCCTGTTGACGAGCCAAGAAGTTCCAACCGACCGACCGAACTGAATTGATTTTTAGTTATTTATAGGGGATTAAGGGGCGTAACCACCTCCTTAATTCGCTCCTAAGTGGGGTAATGGGATGTAACCGCCCCTTAAATCACTCCTGAGTAGAGTTGTGATCCCCTCAGATCGTGGGAAACGGTTTTGGAACCGTTCAGCTTGTGTTTGAACGAGTCAAACGCAAATCCTGTATTCTGATGTGAATTCTGTGTTCAAACGCAGTGTTTGGAAGCTCAGACGCAGCAATTTGGAAGTTGCGTTGGCATCTTGTTAAAAACTGCGTTTGGCAGCTTGGGAGCTGCGTTTGGCAGCGGATGAAAGCTGCGTTGATAGCTTTCGGAGACTGCATTTGTGGCCGAACATGAACTGCGTTTGCAGCTTTTGGAGCTGCGTTTGCGGCCGAACATGAGCTGCGTTGGCGGCCGAATCTGAGCTCGTGGGTTCGACCCTCGCATTTTGATGTTGTAACGTGGGTTCGACCCTCGCGTTTTGATGTTGTAACGTGGGTTCGACCCTCGCGTTTTGATGTTGTAACGCGGGTTCGACCCTGGCGTTTTGATGTTGACACACGGGGAGGACCTCTGCGTCTTGTCTTGAAGAGATTATCACAAAGTAATCTCTTTTGTCATAGCGTTGCAAAGATCATTGTCTTGTAATCTTCGTCTTGGCTCCTTGAGAATATGAGAGTTGTCAGATTGTAACTCCCGATGTTGATTGTGAATGCTGTTGAACTAGAGCTCTCATCGGTTGTCGTGAAGGTCGTCAGATTGTAACCTTCAGCGATCTACGTGAAAGTCTTCAAATTGTAGCCTTCTGGAAGTCGTCAGATTGTAACTTCCATCATCGGTGTTTGATGGGGATCAGCTATCTATTGTGATTTTTTGACAGCCTACAATCAACGATCATATTGAACTCATTAAGATGCAACATGAAGGAATACCCTTCTGCCATCTTGAGGTTGAAGAGTATCTTGATGAGATGCACCTTGTTTGTGGCTGACAGTTGCACGTACATCTTCACGAGCGCTTCCATAAGCCCCACTATCATCTTCTCCTTCAATATGTTGTGGGTGACTGATTTGGCGAGCGATAACCGGATTTGCCCTAGAGCATTCTAATCCAGTATTTCTCAGTCCTCGTCTGATTCCTCTTTCTTCTTTCCTTTAGTTTTTCCCATCAATGGATGATAAAGATCCTTCTGGTATAGATAGTCCTCCATTTGCGACTTCTAGTAGGTGAAGTCAGATCCGTCAAACATCTCGATCTTCGATTTACTTTCTTCCGCCATCTCTTTCACACACAAACTTTGCCAAACGAAGCTCTGATACCAGTTGTTGGGGTTGAACATATAAATAACAACACGTGCCCTTTCGGATCTTGTGTCAAGAGTAGGCAAGCAAGAAATCATAGTAAATAATAGAAAACTTGCAGGAAAGAACGAACAAAAAAAGAAAACACCAGATTTAATAAGGTTCGATAAACATGTCTACGTTCTCGGGAGCCACACCAGAAAGTTTTGGTTAATTGAAGAAGATTACAATGCTCGCAATAGGCCACTCTCTCTATCTAAGACCTCTGATCTCAAAGTGCCGTCAAAACCCTTTCAAAGACGTTGTCACAAAACCCTAAAAACATTTTAGGAAACATATATATACATAGCCCAAAAACAAATTCTAACCCAAATAAGGAAACTGCCAGACCCGACTTTGGTCGACTGATAGCATCGCATCGGTCGACTGGTTAATCACCACCGGTCGACCGATATCATTGCTTCGATCGACCGGCTAGAACTCTATTTTCTACAGGGTTTTCATGCACGCTTTCGGTCGACTGGGGTAAGCCCGTCGGTCGATCGTCCCGAAACTCCTATAGTTTTTCTTGGCTTCACATTGGTCGACCGATGAGCTTATAATGGTTGACCGATAAGGAAATTTCTGTGCAATTTGTGATTTTATTCCAGGTTGGTTCTCCACTCCCAAAACCAACAACAACCATAGGATTTGATATGACCAAGAATTAATTAAATATTTTCATAATATAAACAAGAGTCTAAAATCTAATTAAATTCAGATTTCTGCCAGAATCAGATATTAATGATTTAATTTAAGAAATCTGCCAATATGGATGTCTAGAGGTGATTTTTATATATAATATGCTAGATTTTTATTTATGAATTAGGAAAAAATATTTTTTTCTTTTCTTTGTAGTTGATATTTTTAATCCAAATTTCACTTAGATTTTATTTTTCTTATCCTCGAAGTAATTGAATATTTCTTTTTCTTCTTGATTTCCTACTGTCACTACACTACCTGAAATCATCTATAGCGGCCAAAAAACACTATGATATTATTTCATAGTGTTTTAATAAGCGCTGTATCAGAACCCGCTATAGTAGGTCTGGCTTTACATAACGCTTCCCCAAACGCTATCAAAAAGGTTCCAACCATAGCGTTTTTATGTAGCTATAAAAGGGTATTCAATAGCGTTTCTGTATTGCTATGACGAATATCTTTCATAGCGGTTGAAAAATACTATTAGTTAGTTTTCATTCATAGCATTTCAACGCTGCTATTGTCTCACATTTGATAGCTTTGAGTTACTACAATGGCGTTTCAGCGAATGCTGTCTTTCTTCTTTTAAAAGCATTTCAGCAATTATTTCCACTTCTTATAGCATTTCAGTTGTGCCTATAAACTTTTGAGGTTGAACTAGAAATAGCTTCCAATTATGACAACCATAAAAGCAAACATTTCATTTAAAGGTTCAAACTGATACATAACCAAGTTGTAGCATACAAGAAGTTCAACACAAATGTGTCAAAAAACAAATACTAGTCTTTGGATAATCCAACATGGAGTATAAGAAATTAATCATAGTACACAGAACAACAAAAACTAACTTTGCTGCATTACATATGACTTGGGAGACTCATCATCTTCAGCAATTGAGTATTAGTACTGCTGCAAAAATAGAAATTAACAACACCAATAATGAGATCCTAGATCCATGAATATATGGACACAAAACATAAAACAACAGCACCAATAATTAGAAATCCTAGAGCCATGAAGATCTGGACTAAAAACAGAAATCAGCAATCAAAATATAAACAACAGTCCCATCTATTTTCTTTAATTAGAGGAACTATAACAAACAATTATCAATAATTCTACATCAAGAGCTGTATGTAATATAAAGTCATGCATGAGGAAGTTTTGGTACTTTCTAGACCACAACAGTATTTAAAGTAGTCACCAATTATGTATAACTTACCAGCTTTTCAAAGCATAACAACTTTGTCTGATGGCCAAGCTACTGTCATACCAACGACATCTTCAATGCATTCTAACTCAGATGTTGGCCTCCAAAGAGATGCACTAGAGATCCTAGGGATATCAACCTAAACACACATAGCATTAGGACCTAAAGGAACAAAGTGAACAAGCTGATTCGGATCATTTGAAGACCAATGTCCTTCAGCAACTATCTTTCCCGAGCCACCAATATCTAACAAGTTGCACTTTTTCTTTGAGTTGTTCACACTCTAGCAACAATACAAAAACAGTGATATCAATTATAGAAAAGAAACTAGTACAATCAAATATCAAAATAATGATAGTATCAGCAAAAAAGATTACCGAAGGAGATGATATGCTTGGAGATTCCACATTGTTAATTAAGATATTTTCCAATACAACCTTGTCAGCAGGCCACGCTACTTTAGTGCCGATAGCATCTTCAATAGATGTCATGTCAGGCGTGGGTCTCTATATAAAAGCTTCAGGACTTGTCGGGACATCAACCCAAACAATCATGGCTTTAGGTCCGAGAGGAACACCATTAACAAGCATTTTTGAATCATTGGAAACCCAACGACCTTCAGCAACAATTTCATCTTTTCTAGTCCAATTGAAGATCTTGCACTTGATATGATTCATATTTTTACTCTACCAATCAATGAAAACAGACAAACTCGACTTAACTATATATGTAAGATAACTAATATGAGTAATGAAAGTAAATGAGCAAGCTAAAAATTATTTTACCGAATGCATGGATATATTGTCTTCATTGTCAGATTGCTGACTGATTTGGAACACCACCTTATCAGCTGGCCACGCTATTGTCTTCCCCTGAGCTTGTTGCATACAGAATATATTAGTTGTAGGCCTCCAAAGAAAAGCTTCTGGTTTGTTTGGAATGTCTATCATCACTTCCATTGCATTAGGTCCAAGAGGAGCATGATTTACAAGCTCCTTTGGGTCACTAGAACACCAACATCCTTCAGCTACAACCTCATCTGTTCCATACCAATCTAAAAGCTTGCACTTGTCATGTGGTTTAGGGCACATACTCTACAATGTATCAGACTATAATTAGAACATAAAACTCTATCCCGATAATAACACATTCAATTTTCAAATTTTATACCCCATAATTGATCAAAAAGAAACATGCTAGATAATTGACTTACTTACCTTAGGACTGGTCTTATCAATTTCGGGCCCATTCTGCTCATGTTCATCTTCCTCATTCTGCATTCTCTAACAACACAAAAAAAATTAATAGTAATAATAATAATTGCATTAAGGTTTCATATTATTGTATCATAGATTTACTTTAAAACTTACATCTACATGAATCTTATGGACCTAATGATTTCCAACTAATTTATGGACCACAGTCTCCAAATGTTGTATTCTATTTTAGAATTCAGAATTTTCCTCTTTTAGCTGGAGCACATGCTTGTCTCTGGCTTGTAAGAAAGATACTTTGCTTATAGTAACTCCTCTTCTCATTCCTCTTAATCGCCCAGGTTTATCTTTTCCTAATACTTTAGAAAGAGCATCTTCTCTCACATTAGTTGATGAGGATGAAGGTGTAGCAGTTTTAATTTTTTTAAGCTTATCCTAAAAGGTACAATATATATATGTATTACATTATATATACATGTTCTACTAAAAAAGTAATATATATTCACTCATATGCAAAATTAGTATCCTTACAATTGTTTCACCAACTGCTGAATTCACCGGTGTACCATCTTTTTTGTGTGAGCTTTGATCCAAGCTTTAACCCTTGACACACTAGATGAGTCTGCACTATTTCTTTTCTACAATGATACATGTTTAAAAAAAGAAAGACTGATGACATACTCATAACATTGCCTTAAGAAAACATATATTAATGTATATTATGTATTACCATATCAGCTGTTAATTGAACCATTCCCTTGCCACTGTAAGTGTGTGGGACCTGTCTACGCCTTAATGCCTTGAACTTTTCACTTTTGACCTGGAGACATTGGTCCTTTATCATAATAACATCTCTTAATATAAGCTTGTGATTAATTATCTCAGAAAAACATACCTTAAACTCTGGACTTGTTTTTGTCTTGATAAATTTCTTCCAAATTGCTAAAGATGGTATGTTGTCTGGTTTGAGCTGAAGTCTTTGTTCCTTCTTCTTTGTTCCTCGTATTTGAGCAACTAGTCTTGATTTTGAGGCCCGCCAAAGACATCCCATCGATTGAAATATGACAGTCTTTTGCCATTCTTCTTCTAATATGAATCTAGCCTGCATTTTATATGCATGAAAGTATTATTAGCTGAAGGACTATATTGAAGGAGGTTTACATATGTTAGATAGCTTATGTAAATTGATAGTAGATTATTACCTGAACTTCTTCCCATAATACAACTTTCAGATCATCACCAAGGTTCCTCTAATCATCAAGTGTTACAAGTACATGCTCTCGTACAAGAGGGCCAAAAAACGATGACAAGTGTACTGATCCAGGTCCATATGGTTCACTAGAATCAATAAATTGAATCTAAATTCGGTTCGCATGGTCCCTAGCAAGTTTTTTCTTTTTTCTTGGACCTGTTTTCTTTTTTATGCCTCTTGCAGCTTTAATTGTATCTTGTGTTGGTGAATCTTCAGCTGTATCATCTTCTTGGACCATATCTTCTTCAGGAATATGAATATTTGGAACTGGTCCATCTTGGGGAGCTTCTTGACTGACTTGCGTAAGGCCTTCCTTGGCATTCACATCCCTCGCATCCAAGTCTTGTGACATTCCACCAGTTACCTTATTGTTCTTCCTTTTACACCGACCTGTCTTTGTAGTCTCACCAATCATCCTCGTTTATCTGTCTTAGAAAAATAAAGGTAAGTATCTATATAGTTAAACCTGGTTTCATACGTAAAACAAAATATACATATATCAAAATCACCAATAAACATAGTGACACACATTTAAAGCATGAACAACACCAAAATCATTATAAAGTAGCAGCCAATTAGACAAGATAAATCAAACACTTTAAAGTATGATCAACAATCAACCTCCTTACTAACTAGTTCCAATCACACAAGTAGTCCCTCACAATCCACCCTGACATAACTCTCTTTCTCATAATCATCAATATCCATTTCAATTTCCTGTGGCAAAAAAGATGCATTTGCATTCTCATCATCTGTCTCCAACTCATGGTAACCTCTTGGTGGTGCCTTCATTACTACATACCAATTATTCTCATCATCTGTCTCCAACTCATGGTAACCTCTTGGTGGTGCCTTCATTACTACATACCAATTAGACGAATCATCTTCTCTTGGTGGTGCCTTCATTACTACATACCAATTAGACGAATCATCTTCTCTTGAATAAAAAACCTGTTTTGCATGAGATGTTGGGATATATGGATCTCTTGCAAATGATACTTGACTCTGCTGTAAGTTTACAAGTGTGAATCCACCTTCTTCCTTAACACCATTTCTTTTATTAGCCTAATGACACTTAAACACTGGAACATAAAAAATATGGTAGTCTAGTAAAATGATATCTGTCAATATCCCATAATATGAAACCAGATCAGCCACTTGTGCAGTATCTTTTGCACTTGCTCTACACATGGTTATTGCATCATAAGTCACCCCACTATTTTGTGTTTCCCTGTCAACATCCTTTGTGTGAAACCGTAGCCCATTGATAATGTATCCCTTACATGATAGTGCACTCTTTTTAGGACCATATGCCAACCATCTTAATGTCTTTGAATGATCATTCGAGTCAATAAGAATCTACAAAATATTAATATAAGAGTTAAATGGTGTACCTCAGCTAAGTAATAAATACAAGAACATGTTTGAGATGATTAATTTTAAATAACCTTATTAATGGTGTACCTCAGCTAAGTAATAAATACAAGAACATGTTTGAGATGATTAATTTTAAATAACCTTATTATTTTTTGTCCATTCTACAATTTTCTCAGTATGTCGCTTCCAAAGTAAGGTCTGGTTTTTTTCAAGCCGTTTGTCTTTTACTTGCAACTCCTCCAAATGCATACTAATAGAACACAAGAACACAAGACCATATGAATTATAAAATAAAAAGAACACAAGAACACAAGACCATATGAATTATAAAATAAAACTAATAAATATAAAAGCAAACTAAATAAGTACATAAATAGCAATAAAACTAATAAATATAAAAGCAAACTAAATAAGTACATAAATAGCAATGTACTTACTCTAAAAATGGATTCATTATTGCTGTGTTCAGTAGTACTGAACGATGTGCAATATCTTTCTCTTTATCAGTAAGTGTGATTGAAGTAGTCTTAGATATAGGACGACCTTCAAAAATGACATCATTTTCAAATTCATCATTGCGAACTTCCTTTTCCTTCACATGTATTGACTGTTTCAGAAACTCGCTACAAAAGGCGATGCACTCTTTAGCTAGGTATGACTCTGCAATACACCCCTCAGGTCTTGTAGGATTTCGGACACATTTTTTAGTGTCTTTATGTACTTGAATAAAAGAATTTAATCTTGTTCATGAGCAAATTATAATTGCATAATGGATTTCAGCATGAAAAAGAATAATAAAAAAAATCTAACCTCTCAAAAGGATACATCTAATGAAAATGAACCGGACCACACAAGCGTGCCTCTCTTGCTAGATGAACTGGTAAATGTACCATGATATCAAAAAATGATGGCGGAAAAAAATGTTCCAGTTGACACAAAGTTTCAATGATCTCATTCTCAAGTCTAACAACTTTTCTCTATCAATAATACGCTGGCATAATCTATTGAAAAATCTAGATACTCGAAGTATCGCTTTTCTAGGCCCTTTCGGTAACAATCCTCTTATAGCAACAACAAACAATTGCTGCATTAGGACATGATAATCATGAAATTTAAGCCCCATAATCTTACAATCCTCCAATGTTATGCAGTTCCTGATATTTGAGCAATAATCATCAGGCCCTTTGAAGTCATATATCCTCTTGCAAAATCTTTTTTTTTTCAGACCTTGAAAATGTATGTAGTGCTGGTGGAAGGTACAATCTGCTTCCCCGCTGTTCTGGATGCAAGTCTTTCCTAATTCCAATATCTTCTAAGTCCTTACGAGCATTTATCCCATCTTTTGATTTCCCACTATGCAACATAGTGCTTATTATGCTCTCACCTTACGAGCATTTATCCCATCTTTTGATTTCCCACTATGCAACATAGTGCTTATTATGCTCTCACAAATATTTTTCTCTATGTGCATCACGTCTAAATTATGACGTAATAGAAGTTCCTGCAAATAAAAAATAGAGAAATACATTAACAAATTATAAAGTTAAAACAAAATATATAAAAAATATGAAATAAAGGAAAAATAGAACACTAACCTTCCAGTATGGTAAAGAAAAAAAGATTGATCTTTTCTTCCACTTAGTAAGCTCATTCTGATTATCAATGTCACTTGTGTCGTCCTCATCCTCATCATCATCACCATCATTCTCATTATTATTCCTTTTCCTTTTTTTGTCTCCACCTTTTCCAAAATCATTTAGAAAATTATTTAGAATATCAGAAATATTGTAACCTGTTAGGGCTCTGGGCTTGCTGCCATGCTCTACACCATTATCAAACAACGATTTCTTTCTTCGATATGGATGTGAGGGTTTCAAAAATTTTCTGTGACCCATATATGAAAACTTATTGCTGAAGCGTAACCATCTATGATGTGTATTTTACCCACATATAGGGCATGTTTTTCTTCCTTTTGTATAACAGCCAGCAAGATTTCCATATGCTGGAAAGTCATTTATAGTCCTCAACATTGTCTTCAAATTGAAAGTTGATTTACTAAATGCATCATAAGCCTCAACCCCATTCTCCCACAACAATTGCAAATCATCTACAAGTGGTTGCAAATAGATATCTATGTCGTTTCCCGGTTGCTTTGGACCAGGAATCAACAATGTTAGCATAATATTCTCTTTCTTCATACACAACATAGGAGGCAAATTATAATTCACAAGCATTACCGGCCAACAACTATATTTAGAGCTTAAGATGGAGAACGGGTTGAAACCATCAATAGCTAGGGGTGCATTCGGTCCGGATACGGCTCGGATATGATGCTTATCATATCCATATCTGCTTACCTATCTCGGATACGGATACGGATATACCTCGGTAAGAAAAATTTATAACCATATCCGCTAAAATAGGATACGGTTACTAATATACATGCGGATATATAA